GCAACCGGAGCCGAATTGGAAGACTGCGACATCTGTGTTAGTGGTGGGGAAGTGACGTTGACAGATTTCGGCCGATGAGTGTCTATGAGATCGCGGGTCGATCTTCCCCTCATTCCCTTCGTGTCTCAGTTCGCTGTTAGTGGGTAGCGGTGCGAGGACTACTCTCGTGCTCTGGGTGTCTATGGTCGTATCGCGGGGCTGTGAACGAGCCCGAAGCGCCTCGAAACCGGTAGTTTCGGCATTTTTCAAGTCGATTGCAGCCCAGGAGAGCCTTGTTTTAGCAGTGACCAGTCGCCCGAAGGCGGGACTCGAAATCTGGCCTGTAAATTGACGGCCACGCTCTCCGATGGCAGTGCCCACGCTCCCGGCAGTGTTTTGCGTGGGGTTCGTAATGGGCAGGGAAGTAGATTGCCCTTGGACACGCAGCCAACTCGCTTCTGTCTGGTCGCCCCAGTTCGACGTGCATCTTTACTTGCCAACTTAAAATGCGAATAACTCCATTATATCGGCGAAAGCCTTATATTTAAGTGGAAAAAGGTTCTGTATCAGAAATTACGAAGCCTAGGCCAGGTGAAGGCAGTCTAATCCAATGTATGTGGACATTTCTCCCATGAGTCTGACCTCGACCTGCCTCTTGTCCTCTGGTCTCACCTTTTGGGGTTCATCTCTCACATGACATAATTGTCTCAAATTTTCAGGTTACATTATCATTACATACTGCACTGGTACAGCACTAAAGAAATTTTGGAGGCCCTGCCAAAAGAGATCTGCAGCTAGGCCATGGGGACCTGCTCTTTCTCAGCATTTTAATGAGGATTTCCCCTTGGCAGATCTCCGGCCATAGCCCAGATTCTGGTTCCATGATAAGACTTGGACACCAGTAACCCCATTGTTCTCAAGATTTATTGCTTCAGATAGAGCCTAACATAGCAGCCATTGATGTGGTTGATTGAAACCATGAAAAATATATATTCTTGATCATCGGAGGCTATTCTCCATTCCGTAATTTGTATGCAGGATAAATAACCTAAATTTATTGTTATCCGGGCATAAGATACATTTCAATTTTTAATCAAAACAGCCCAGCCTGAGTAATGTTATGGACTTGGCATAATGTAGTTTTAACCTGTTTGTCAAGATTTAGACTGAGGGCCTAAGAAGATTTTATATTAGCCACTTACCTATTTTCCATCCAAGGCCTCCTGTATGTGAGCAGATGCTTTAAGTTTGTCCTAACTTTGCTCTCAACACTTTTTTTCTTCTTATTTGCAGGTTATGCTTAGACCTACTAATAAAGCCTGGGGATTGCTGTGGGGGGGGGTGTGGCATATGCCAAGGCCTTAGTCTATTCGAACAGCTCTTGCTGTCGGTTTATCAGGTAGGTGTTAATAGAGGTGTGGGTACGGCTTCTTTACTCATCCTTCATCTGCTTCCATGCAAATTTGTTGACTGGAATTCATTTGCATCTAGTATCATGCATCAATATGTAAATGTCATTTGCCAAAACTTATCTCAATTACCGAAGGATAGGTTAGTTATTATTGCAAGGAAATGAATATGTACCTATCAATCCATGTCAGAATAAGATATACATCCTTGTTTAAAAATGCAGCATCAAAATGGCTATTAAGATGCAAAGATATGAAAGTGTCCAGTCAGGTTGGTATCATGGATGCCCTCTTTACCCTTCAGTGCTTAGATGTGTCGATGCCCAGGTTTCTCTGCAAATCATAACTATTCTACTTTGGGGGATGGAGGGGCAGGGATCTGTGCATGTGGGAATCTAGGAATGTAAATAGGACAGATGAGCCAAAATTTGAACTTCATCAATCCTGGATGGAAGGTCTTCCTTCTTTAAAGCAGACATTCTGATGCTGTCTTATGAAGTATGTCATTGCCTAAGGACAAGTACAGCATTCAGTTTCCAAGAGAGATGGCTTTGCACTTTTAATAAATGTAATTGATGTTAGATGCTCAAGGTTGTTTCTCCCAAAGTGAAACCTTTTTAAACCAGTCAACCAGCATGAATCTGGAAGTTCATGGAGAATAAGAGGAAAAAACACATCTATGGGTTTTCATATGGAAAATTAACACATAGGCCTTCATTTGAAAAATTGCTATGTCAGGATAGATACAAGATTCATTAGTGGTATACTCCTCGTAGGTGCATCTCACTGCTTCTGTTTAACCCCTGATTCTAGTCCCTTTTTTTTTTTTTTTTTTCCTTTTCCTTTTCGCAGCGATGCCCTCATTTCGCTCACCTTTTTCTTCGTTTCGATAGTGATGGCCGGCGTCGTATCGGAACCGATAGGCCTCCAAGTCCCCGTCCGCGTCGCCGTCCAAGAACTGACTGGGTTCCTCCAACTGGGCCCAAGCGCCTCTTGCGTCTCCGTGGCAGAGGAACCAAACGATCCACAACACCACGCGCTGCAACGAAAAGTTCACGTTGTCATGGTCTTCCCAGAAATTTTTTTTTTTCCAGTGAAATGCTGCTGCATCGGGAAGAAACTCGAAATGAAAAAAATCAACAAATGAATGCAAACGCAAACACANTTTATTTTTTTTTTTTTTTTTTTTTTTTTTTTACCTTGCAATACCACTACTGGAAAGTAGACAAAGAAATTCATCTTGTGGTTGTGGGTGTTGTGCTCATTATTGAAAAAGCTGAATGATTCTATGCTCTAGTGTACTGAGACACTGGATCATGGATTTACATTGACCAAAAAGACTTGGGGACTATCCAAAAGCAGAGGATATTTTATGCTCTGAATTCCAGCTACTTATCACCCTAGCTTTTTAAAAAATATGAATGCACCAATGCAATCAAAGCTAATGTGAACCAATGCAAAGTGTAAACATATTCACCAATAAGATTTGAGCTTTGACCTATCCTTTTCTGACATAAAATATTAATTTTATGTCAGAAAAGGATAGGTCAAAGCTCAAATCTTTTAATTATCATGTTTTTTTTTTTATTTGTGGCTTTTGTGCATTTTCCATCTTGCAAGGAATGTAATGCCCATTTCAGGCAACAGTAGACCTGGTTTCATCCTATGATGATAAGGCATTTTCTGCACTTTTCATATAAGCTGCTGAGCTAGCCTATGACTCAGGTAGCAGCAGGCCTAAGCTTTTCCTTCATCTCTATGTGCCTGGCTCAGCCTGTACGTTCCATACTCTCACGAAGATCCATGATGAACTTAGTTGCAGGGTGGCTTCCTTTCTTCTCCATGACTGTAAATATTGTCTCAATTTCTCAATTTGCCCAGAATAGGGTTTTAGAGCCTTAGCTGTCTATTATACTGGCCCTACTCATCAAGACTTAATACTTTGTTCTGATGAGATTCTACCCGAAATTCTTTTTTTCCCCCACTGATTCATTGTGAGAAGCATGGTCAAAGGATATTTCTTTGACTCAACTCCTTTACATGGAAGCACTTCTTTTGAGGAGTATTTTCAATGTAATTCAGGTTAACTAAAAGTCATTGTCAGCTGTTGCCTCTTTTGAGGATAATTTACAGGACTGTTGTGTTCGTCATCCCCCGATGGCAACCACTGCACAAATTAACTTGTCACCATAAGCTTTCATCTCTACAACAAACTTTTTTCTAATGGGGTTACCCCTAAGCCTCCTCCACTCAATAAGAGGACTAAATAGGTGGCACGGTTGGACAAATGCTGTCATGTAGCCAAGACTCCTCTATGCGTCTCAAGTAGGCTCATGATGAGAGATGAACTCCCAAGGTTGAGATGCCAGATAGAAAGTCTTCTTCTTCCCTCCCCTCTCTTCAAGACTGTCTAGGCATGATGCATTTACAGAACCAGCACCAGGTTTTCGAGTTTATAGTATGTTTAAAAGGTTACATTTCAAGCTGAAATAGGGTTATCGTACAAATCACAGAAGGGGTGATCAAAATGTGGCCAATTTTCTTGCGTGTGCTTCAGGACCTTAGGGATCACACAAACGCCAGTTTTGGCCCTTCTCACATGTTTGAGGACGATGTTGAACTAATCTTTTTATGTTGAATGGTGCACTACCACATTCTGCTCCATGTGCAGGACTGGTTGGATGAAAAAATAATTAACCACTTGAGAGTGATGAAGGATTCATTAACTCACCAACAAAGGGTATGGACTAAACATGGCATTTTTTCTTTTGGGGTTTACCTTAAGGAAAAAGTTTAACCTGGGCTTGAAAGCTGAGAAACCCAGACGATTTGAAAAACTCAGAAGAGAATTGTGCTACTTTTAATAATTTAATTGAATGAAGTTACAATTTTTTTTGTTCACCTCTTCACCCTGTATTCATTCAGACCCAAATTTGAGAAGGGTAGTCACTTTTCATACGCCCATTGGTGTGTGCACTTGTGCTAATACCAGGTGTTCTGCAGGCAATATTGATAGATTCGGAGAGAGTCCAGGAAAAGTCTGTCTCCGTAATTCGAAAAACCAGTCTTTGTGTAAGCATGGAAGCTCTAGTGTCTAGTGTAATGGTGTTGGCTTCGGTTAAACTCCCTCGTGATAATGGATGTGTTATCAGCACATGATGGTCGTGTGAGTTAGGTTGTGTTATGCTTAAGCTGTCTATACGAGATGTCATCCATAGATTAGATTGTCAGTTTCCTGTCGTCTGTCACATCAGTAGATGTAATGGATGGGGCAGTGTCCCCGAGAATTGTTGGTAGGAAGTCGAAAGACTCCTAATGGCAGACGTGGTCCGACAAGTTATTGGGGGTTTCACGAGGTCCTTCACGCAAGTTTTGGATCTCACTTCCAACTCGGCCCCTCCTGTCAATCCAGAGTGTAAGGAACCAGTCTGCCAGAATGGATCATGCCAGTCTGCCCTAGTCTGCCAGAATCGTTTGTGCAACTCACAATACTACCGCGGCGATCTGCTTTCGTAGGGACTAACCCATTGTGTGTTCGCTAAACCCCCTTAGAAGACTAATTGTATTTTGAACTTCTGTTTGTGCTTCGTCTTCAATAACCCTCCTTTCGTTTTGTTTGCTTGAATGACAGGAGAGAGAAGAAAGTGTTTTTTTTTTCTCTGTGATGTGGACTCTTGGTTGGGGAGTTGTTTTATCTGAAGAGTAGGATGAAAGAAATACGGCCATTGTAACAGTGATGATGAAGGAATGATGTGCTTAGTTTGAGAATAGTGTGCTTGGTGTGCGAAATACCCGATGACGTAGTGGCCTCATCCGCCCCACTGCCGTCTGCATTCATGCGCCTTTTATGCGTACCATGGGAAATGCTGCAACGGCCAAGAAAGGGGATACCGCTGAAAATGGTGAGTGAGATCGGGCTGGGAAAAGCGCAGTGCCGGCGTGAGACTGCAGATGTGAGAATGGAAAATAAGTCTGTTCGGTAGTATCCGTGCGGTACGACGATATCCGATGAACGGAGGACGAAGGGCAACAGGATGACATCGGATAATCACGGCGTGGAAAACCTGAGTCGAAGATCGCCGTCCGTGAAGGGCAGGACGGGAGGAATCCGAGCGGTAAACACGGTGGAATTATCGAAGCTCTGCCGATCGTGCCCCTTGCATGTGACTCGCATCGCGAAATCGGTTAGCTGGTTAGGTGGAGAGAGAGAGAGAGGATTCGGTGGAATCCATCGTTTGGTGAGGTCCTGGCGCCGTTTAACGACTGGATTTTATGCGGTAGACGCTCCCAGCCCCATTCAGCTGTCAGTCGAGACACGGCCCCGAAGCACCTGCGTCAGTGTGTCGTATCCCCCTGGGTCCACTGAGCAGGTCCCCTGGCGAAAGGGGGTCCATCCGTGACCATCACCCAAAATGGACCTATTCGCTGCTGCGAAACGGCACGTGATGAAGCGTTCGACTCGATCCCTGGGGAAAGACTAGGTCCAGACCAAAACCTTTCTTCTAAATTCGAAAACGAGAACAGAAATCTCGCTCGCCAGAAACACGGTCGAATACCGTGAGAAACGCCATCGATTCGAGCCAGATTCCATTTTTATTATAATTGCCATTTAAAAAAGCCAGTTCAGCGTGGGAAGGGAATACCGAGAAGCCTTTAGATGAAGACGCAAGACGTACCTCCCCGATTCCCTTCCGATCTGGGGCCGTGTTTCGCCAAGGTCGAGTCCGAATCTCATTTCACTGGGCCGGACGACTCTCATCGCGATAGTGGGGCGCTCGTTTTATGCGTCGTTCTGAACGGGGGGAACCGAAAGTGAGACTTGGTCGACGCGGGTGGTCGCTTCGGATGAGTTCTCATTGGACGCAACGGTTCACCCCACTACCACTGTCAGTTTCTTTTTTATGCTTTTCAAATTTTTTTTTTTCTCATTTGTAGGCTGTTTTCTTTATTTAAAAAAAAAATCCCGTTCATCCCCGATTGATTTTAAGTAACTTTATACTGCATGCCCCATAGGGTTTCCCTCGCCACAATGTTTCGTTGGTTCGAAAGTGCATCAGAGTTGGAATTTCAATTGCTAATGGACAGTAGACGACCGGTCTCATAGAAACGGTTTTCTCACCCTTTCTCCCACCTTATTTTAATGGCCTTCTGAACGCCCAAGCTGCAGGCTCGGCCCGGGGTTTTACCATCATGTCCCTTCGAGTGCGAATAACGATGCCGTTTCCGGATTCGACGTCGATTTCGGCCGCTCGATGGGCGAGGTCTCGCCGTAAAACCCCTTGTATGTTCCAACATTTCCCTTTTCGATGCCAATAATCAGGTCGCTGAGCCTATTTAGATGTGGTTGTTTGCGTCGGTGAGGATGAATACGATGGGTTCGTCGCAAGACGAGGGGCGGGGGGGTTCCCTGTCGGTGGAGCACTTGGTGGGACATTCGGTGGAGCATTCGATGGAGTATTCGGTGGAGCATTCTGAGCGACGGGGCTCCGAGTTTGACTTGGATTCCTCCCGCGAAGTCGCGCTTTTTCGTGGGTCTTTCGCGGAAATTTTTATTCGTGCAAAATTGTTGTGGACGCTGCTGTTTCCTTGCCTGCTTGCAAATCCCTAGTCTGGTATCGGAGTGATTTTGTGATACCAGATGACACCCACCTCACTCATCCCTAATGGCTGATTTTTTTTTATCTGTGATTTCTGCGCGTCGATGCATCTCACGCGCGGCCCCTTCCACGAACGCGTTGAATCGCATTATTCCGTTCCATCCCCCTTTATCTCCGCAGTTCGAGATATCCTAGAAGAGGCGAGGAAGGACTTCGAGGAGAAATGGAAGAAGCCCTCAGCGGTGAGTTTCAATGTGGAGAAGCGCAAAACTAATTTTTTTTTGCGGAGCTGTTGTGCGAAATTGGGGCTTCCAGTAGATTGGGATTGATCGCTGATTAGCCAGCCGTTTTACGTCCCGTTAACGACGTTAATGTCACGATCAATGGAGTTTACCCTTTTCGTTTCGACGTCGGTCGACCCAAAGGCTTTGATCCGTCCTTGTGCGTGAAGGGCAAAGCGACCGGAGAGGCTTGAGATAAAATCCTCTCCGAGGGGAATTTCCCCGATTAGATACGGAATGGGAAGGAATGAGTGGATGTAATGGATAGGCGATGGATGTAATGGATAGACGATATCTGTCACATTCAGATGGGGGGTCTGGGACTCCTCAAAGAGTATCGCCTTTATGCCAGTAAAAGTTTTTTTTTTACGACGGATCCCGTTGGCACGAAGAATCCTTTGGGCAAGTATTCTTTTAAAGGACAGTCTGTGCATTTCTGCGCATGGGGTGTCGCTACGGTTTCGCCTCCGAGTGTTGTAATGCTTTCATAACGAGTCCGCCACCTCATCCATATACATAGCGGCCTTTGCAACTTTGCCTTCCAGGCATTTTTTTTTATTCATTTTTTTTGTACACATGCTGAGACGGAATAATCATAGATATGGGTGTGAGATTTCTCTCGCCGGAGACCTTGGAGTGTTTGGACATGAACCTTTTTATCATCCTGTTCCAGAGCAATGCAACCCTGGACGATTTCGACCGGATAAAGACCCTGGGAACAGGTTCCTTCGGCCGAGTCATGTTGGTCCAGCACAAGGCCAACAAAACCTACCATGCCATGAAAATCCTCGACAAGCAGAAGGTCAGTGCACAGTTTTTTTATATTTATAATATACTCCGTTTAAATGTCTGCCATGGGCCGAGATGGGATGGATCTCGCCTGTCATGTCTCTAACGGTTCATCACATTTCTGTGATGGATTCGGATGTCTTTTCTCTCTATGGGTCAACCAGGGAGACCTTTGACTGCTTGATGAGGTCTTTTTATCGTTCATCCCTCGGATGGAAATGTTGACAGGGGCTTCCCCCCCCCCCCCCGAAGTTATGTCCTTGCTCCAGACTTTAGAGTCCATAGAGCATTCTGGTGACTTGGAACGCTGCCCATCGTCCCCTCTATCTTTTCCGTTGCCGTCATGTCGTATCCCATATATATATAGGAGGCTAAAAGCTCGCAGCGTACAAAACAGTAGGAATCGTGTTTCGTGCCCCTTAATGGGAATGGGACGAGACTCCGTAACGTATGGATCGCCTGTGAAGATGTAAATCATTTGCGGTTTGGCTCGCTCCGTGTTTTCGTGGGTGGAGAAGGAACCGTTGTATATAATTGACTAGCGGACTGCAGCCTCCCTGATTCTAACTTGTCCCGTTTGCCATTATGTGAAAATTAGTTTTGCTTCTGGCTGGTCTTTCGTCTTTTTTTTTGATAATAAGTACTTTATTTGTGTCTTATTGCTTCAGACTCCGAAAGTTTAGGAGACTCGGGAGCAAGACGAGCCAAACTTTTAAAACGAATTAAGTGATTTTGTGATGTAAGTTCCGTGTTGTGCTCTCTTGAGTACTGGCATATTCGATCGGCACTTGCCGTCCCCGAAAGGCGCACCCCTCAGACGAGTCCTCGTTTTCGAAGTCGGTCGCAGGTTCGGTAATCCCAACATGAAACTTCGTGGACCTTGAGACCTTGGCGACAGGTGGGAGTGTGCCAACTTTGGAGTCCTTGCTTTGGCTCGAACGTGAGTTAGGTTTGGATCGGAAAGGGCCGTTCTGTGGCACGATCCGTGCTGCGAAAGGCACGAGAGAGGCACCATCGTGCCCTGTAATGCTCCAGTTCTCTTTCTGTCTCTCCGTGCCGTTAATAAGAGGCATTCTCATTACAAGCTCAATTACGTTGCTTGGTCGGTTCCGTGCCTGCTTTGTTTTCCAGGGAGTTGCGGTTCGCGAGTTTAAAAACCAAAACGAATGTGGAAGAGGCATATAAGTGGCGGAGGAACCAGAGGGGCTGAATCTTTCAAGGCCGCTCCGGCATCGATCTCTCGGCTACCTGATCGATTAATTATTCAGCGTTCCTCTTGGATACTCGATCGGAGTTCGGTCGGAACGGGTGGGTCGAAGTTCCGGGAGGGGGGACCGGAAAGTCGGGGCGACGGGCGGGGACCGCAATGTGTGCATGAGGTGGAAGGGGGATGGGAGAAGAAATGATGTCAATGCCAATTTGGCACGGGAACCGGTTTCTCCCTTGGCAGGGAAGGAGAACGGGAGAAAGGGCAAACTCTCTCTCGCTCCACGGCCATCATCTCTTGTTTTCTTTTTTCTTCTTTCATATCCCCCCCTTTTCCTCCCACTCTGATTACGCGGAGGATTGTGCAATGACCCGTGGAGATGGGGCGCAGGGTTGCACGGTTCCTCTAAACGGATTTCAAACGATTTTTTGATTTGCCCTGGTCTGGTCCGTTTTGGCCGATCTCGAGAGCTATTTGTCTCATGGCTTGCTTTAATTAGGCTCCCGGTTGTATTTTGTTTCGTGATGAGCCATGGCCCCGGTTAGGATATTTTTCTCGAGTGTTTTTCTCTTCTACGACGGGAAGCCGGGGTGTCATTGCTCCTTGCCGGGGTGCCACTGCTCCTCTGCGTGGGCCAGCCACTCCGTACTGTGGGTGTGTGTTTTTCCTCTTTCCTCCACCCAGGCTTTCTGTCCAATCGATGCAGAAGGGGCAGTAATCGGGTTGTGAGGAGGGAGGGAAGCCTTTCTCTCTTATTCTCTCTCGCTCCTCTCTCTCTCAACGCATTCTTCTCGCCCAGTGCCAGGAGCAGTGTCATGTTCCATCACTTGATAAGTATGAAGGCTGTCGGATTGGCGGGCCGCTAAAGCGCGGATGTGGGTAGACGTGGGGGAAGTGAATCTCTTCATCCCGGCTGACATCTTTATCGGCCATTAATCACTCCTCAGACTAATTAATGACCTCATCGAAAGTCCGTTGATCTGATCGGCGGGGGATGAGAGCCTGCCCTTGTCCTTGCCCCGGCCGAAACCTTGGAGCAAATGAGTGGTAAAAATAGCAGCTGACGTCACGACGTCTCCAGCCCCAATTTTTTGTCGACTGGATCCTCCCCGAACGTTGACCTGTGGAATCGTTGGTAGTCCACACGGTGGGTTTCCTGGTCGTCGAATGAGATTCCCGTATTGCATGCCGCCTGAATGGATAGGAAGCAAAGTAGGACATAATTGTGTATATTCGGAGACGTTGGACCGGTGGGAAGAAGTGCGAAGGGTCGGGCCCTCCTCGGTCGAAACAAAGCCGTTGAGCATTCGACCATTGCATTTGAACCGGGAGTGGACCGTGCGAGAAGTTCATGCCCTGTTGGCCCTTGTCTTTTAGCTCAGAAATTTTCATATCTTGGTTGGTGTTGGCCTGGCCTACACTTGGGCCGTAGGCCGTTCTTTCATTGGAATCCATTAGTACAGATGCTGAGAATCGTATCACAAGGTGAAAACCTGCTTTTGTTAGCGCTCGGAGCATGCCGTGAGATTATTTTCTTGTAGGTGAGTTCAAGTTGTGTTCGAAAAACTGCTTGTTTGCTTTCGATATTTTCTCTCAAGAATTTCACTTACAAAGGCTAGTTACGGGTCGGCCTTGTTATGCCATTTTATTTTTTCTAAAAAGGCACTCCTAGTTCAGTCGGATTTGAACCGGTTCGTTGAAGTACCAGTACTCCCTGATCCTCCCCGTTACTAAGTTCTGACGCATGCGTGGTATAGAACGCATTTGTGTAGGCGCATTCCTAAGGGAACAGATCTGGTTGATATGGGTGACAAGATAATCGACACCAGGAACATATGAGCTCATGCACTGGAGCCTGTTAGAGTTATTTTCTGCACGAACTCTTTGGATTGAGTTGCACAGCAAGTCTCATGAAAATCTGGTTCATCGGGCTGTTAAGGGAACTTGGACCTTCGGCATCATGGAGTGGGTAGACACGTGACGGGATACGAGCCTTGTTGAATAAAACTCTTCAGCCAAACGGAATGAATGGCCTTTTGACCAGAAGGCTGTGTGCTTTTCCCCCTTATCGCATGTTCATTTGAGTGGAGGCATGGGAAGTCCTTTGACAGGCACTCGAGTTGATAACGCTGAAGCTCTGGGACCAGGGGCATCGAGGATGGAGTCGCTGGAGGTCTCTTTGGGGACGAGGCAGGGGCGTACACACACGTCTCGTTGTGATAAACGTCCCTGGCTCCCTTTTTTTTATTGTAAAGTTTAGGTTTTATTGTTTATTTTTTTTTTTGCTCGATGTCGACGTGATCTAAACCTGCCGAGACGTGTTGACCTAGCGTCGAAGAATACGCTGCGGCTCTGGAACGAGACAAGACGATGGCGTGGTTAAGTGATGGCTTGTAGAAGGCAATCGCACGAGAAGGAACACAAAGCTGTCAGAGGAATGCGTAAATAAGGCGAAGAAAAAGCCATTACACCGTTTCGAGTCGAGTCTGGCAGACTTGAAAGGAAGGATTCCGCCGTCGGACACGATGGAGAGTCCGGAGATGTGTTGGATCTGCTTGGCATTCTATGCAGGTCTGTCGTTTCCTGGAAGGGGAGAAAATGTCTTTCGCATCCAAGTCGATGAGAAAATGCTCGGACTGCGCGAAAAAAAAAAACGCTTCGATCCGGTTCTCGTTGTTGAACGTGATCCTATCGCAAACAGCGAGGCGCAATTCCATCGGGGAAAAAAAAAACCGCTTCGGTTTGCGGCAACCTTCAACACGAGGTTGTTTTCACGAGCTATTTAAACAAGAAAACCATGCGGTCTCCAAACACGACAACTTTGCCAAACATTAGACGTGATGGACGGGATCAGGAAATGTTCCCATTGATACCAGATGCAGTTACAGGATTATGATGAGTGATCAGGGCGAGTCCCTGTCAAGGAACGAAAGGGAAGGGAGAAGAAAGGATGTGATGGGAAGCTGATGCCTTTTCCCTCCATAAAGGCTGCCAGAGAGCTCGTCTGGACCTTTCCCCCTCTGCCCATGTCCCCATCACGTCCAAGGTTCTGGATTTTTGGGCCGGGATGCCAAGAGGCATTTATATCCCGTCTGACGTTCGCGGTCGAGCCCATGCCAAAGATTATTCCGTTCGGATCGATAGGATTCCGAGCACGCAATGGGGTCGAGCAGGACAGTAGTCACCGCTCGGAATTAACCGGAATCGGTGCATTTCCTTTCGTTCACCGCGTTCGGGATGCATGGGCTCGGAGAGAAATCGATCAAATGGCCCACTGCTAATCGATTAGCAGCCCTGTTTAAAACGTGTATACCGCCAATGGGAGAGAGAAACTGGAAACTGAGAAATGGGAGGCTCGGGGATTGGAGGTCACTTGGAGTGTGGGAGTGGGCCGTTGGGAATCTTGGCATGGAATCCTGCTCCTGGGGACAATTATATTCCTTGGCCTTGCAATGGGACCAACTGGTTTTCTCGTTCCTGATGTCGTGTCGTTTTTTTTTATGGCTTCTTCATTGGATGCTATGTGGCATGGTTTCGATGGTGTGTCGACTGCCTGATTCTAGTGTCATGATAATCTCCTTCGCTCCTGTTTTCCCTTACCCCGGTTCCCATTTCATCTAGGTTTCTTTTTTTTTTCTCTCTCTCTCTCTTTATCCTCTTTCTTCCCCAATCCTGTTCTCTTCCTGAAGATATTGGGTGGGATCGATCAAACCGCGCCTCGGTTACTCATTCGTCATTCCCCCGATGTGATACCCTTCACTGTCTCCCTGTAAATGCATTGCTTTGCGGTTATTCCTACGCCTCCCGAAGAATGAATCCGTCTCGCAAACATTTTGGCGATCGCTCTCGATTGCGAGAAGGTTCCAGGTTTCGGAACATGCGATGTCGTCGGCACTGCCAAAAGCTCTTGACATTTTCTCGTCGCTGCATCGATTGTAAATCGGGAATGTGACTGGAGCGGGATGTGATGGGACTTCGGGAGTTGAAATCCAAGATGGCGGGCATTGAAAAAGGAAGGCGTTTCACTGGTCCAGGAGATGGAGATTGATTGATGCCACGTCCAATCTCCCTGTCTCCTCGAGATTCCCCTCACCATCAGCTGCTGCTGCTCCTGTCTGTATCTCGACATTGATTTCCTCCGTAGCCTCATCTTTTCCTTCTTTTTCTGTGTCTCGGATCTCCCAAAGTAGCTGGAGACACTCGGCTTTCCTCTTTTTTTCTTCCAGACTGCAGATGTCGAGATGAGAGAATGGGTGGGGGGGGGGGGAGAATGGCTTGAAAAGATTTTTGGCTGCAATTGAGGGTTCTTTCGCGGTTCCCTTTCATCCGCTGTGATGCGCGTGCTTTCTTCTGCAATAAAGGCATTCAAAGCGCTGTTCGTTTGGGAACAGGTCTGTCATCGGAAAGACAGGTGATATGTCCTAATTGGCATTAAGTGTAAAGAGATGCAAATGAGAACGGATGGAAACTTGAAAGCACTAGGCGTACGAGGACGTATGCGGTTTCTCTGTAGATCCCAATGCCTCCATTCAGTCCTTGCCTCCCTTGTCTCTTCATTCATTCATTCATTGACTCAGGGAAGCTCTCGTTGAGGGCTGACCGTGATGAGTGGTATTAAAATATTCATGCTCGGTTCTGCAGCGGAATGCGAAGAGCAGGGTTTGTGTGGGTGTCTGTGTGCGTTCCACCCCTCATAGGCTCCGTTTTCTTTCACCTTGTCGTCAAGAACTGGCGTCATGAGGGCTTGAGGTGTGAGGGAACCGTGGGGGGGTTATGCATAAGTTTGACTAAACACTCTGGATCTCGGCCATCTGTCGCTCTCGTGTCTTGGGTTTGAATTTTCTCCCCGCGTTTCTGAGTCTTGCATTCAGGGGGAGTTTCACGGTCGATGGGAGTCATTCTGATGCAAGTCTTGCACCGTTCATTAAAAATCAATTAACAGAATTGTTTGACCTTGAGGAGCTGCCCCTACATGAAGACGCTAGGTCATCGTGCGTTGGTGCGCCCAGGAAAGGAAAAGAGTTCTTTTTTTTTTTTTTTTACTAACAGGTTTTTCCAAGGTACATGGAAGGGAGAGGTAGGGTCACGAAGAGAGTCGATACTTTTGATATTATCGTGGGTGCAGGGTTCTCTTTATGGAGGAAAAGGTTGTTTTCGTTATGTCGTCGCGTTTTTCCGTCTGCCGGCGCAGGCCTCGCCTTTGAATAATCTTGGATTTCTTGGCTTTCATCCACTCGAGAAATATCCCGAGTAAGACCGGCGCTTTTCCTCCCCATGTTTGTCGGTTTCTGTAGAGGAGCACAGATCGAACTTCTCGGAAAAAGTTCAGTCTCTTTATTAAGTCTTGGAAACTCCGTCCCGAATCGGTTGTTGGTTCCAGACACACTCGGAAGTGTAAATAGCAAGCGAAATCCGCACAGCATGGATATGCTCGCGTGGAGAGAGGAATTTGTAAGGGAGAAACCCGGATGATGGCGTCGTGATTGCCTGTCTCCGTCCTCTGTGACACCTGTGCGCCCGCATGTACACGGACAGGGTAGAAAGTGAGACGGAAAAAGTGTCACGTGTGTACGTATTTATATATACTCGGAAGCTTTGTATGCTCGCCTCGTTGGAATACATTGTGGCTGGCCGCGGGGAATTTTCTTTGTCGCGTTTTGCATCTTTCATCTCACCCAGGGATGACCTTTACGGAATCATTCGGGCCTTCTTCCATTCAAATCTCATCTCGTCCCGCCATCGAATTTCAATTTTCTTCGAATGGCAGAAGATTGGAAACTAGATTGAAGAATCTCGTTAAGTAAGACGCAGATGCACGTGAAGGATGGATCTTTTTCTCTCCCTTATTGCAGGCATTGATTTGCAGTCATGAATGCCAAAACCTCCCCTCATTTGCATAATTACAGTGGGATACGGTGGCTTTGAAAAGGAAACAGGCACCGTTTTCGTTCGACCCCGCTCGAAAACTGACTGAAAACCGTCTTGTGTTGCAGGTTGTGAAATTGAAGCAGGTTGAGCACACGCTGAACGAGAAGAAGATCCTCCAGGCCATCAGCTTCCCCTTCCTCGTCAACCTTGAATATCACTTCAAGGCAAGTGGAGAAGAAATTTTTCTCAATTCCCCTCTGCCTTTCCTCATGCCTTATTCCTTCCTTTTCCTCATGTCGATGAGGAAACGATATCGCGCGAGGGCCCCCTGGCTTTAATGGTGTCGCCGTTGTCATGACAACCTAACGGAGCCGCCGTCCCTTTTTAATAATTCTCTCTTCCTTTCATGAGATAGGAATGTATGTTTTCTCTCTTGGGCATCCAGGTGTCTTGCCCGCCTGGACTGCTGAAGGTCACGAAGTCATTTTTTATCTTATTTTTAATAAGTACAATTATAATTTCATATTAACTTATCAGTCTTGTAATCCGTAAGAAATAGAGAAACCGGCAACTCCAGGGCGACCGCCCTGGAATCAGTGGGAGGTGAACGAACTGGAACGGGTTTTTCGTGATTCTCGCGGAATTTCCTCTCCTTTCTCATTGCTCCGTTTCTCGTCTACTCTGAAGCCCTAATTTCCGCATTTAGGACTCTTTCCAAGGCGTTTCGGATCGATACGTAACGATATGAATCTTCGTGCGTGTATGAAATGGAAGGAATAAGGAAAGAATATGAGGATTACCTATACCGCTCCTCTTTTTCTCCTCAGCTGATCTATTTTTTTTTTTCATGCCTTGCCAGATCCATTTATAAGATGAAAAAAGTTTTTGCCGGGGTAAGAAAATGAAAGTCACGATGTTGAAATATATATTTTTTTCCTGCTCTCGTTCCGCGGTGGGAGAGCAGTGGAGGGAATTTTCGTTTGAGGACGATGTTTTTGCCTTGTTTCACATGTTTCTGCCTTCCTCCCCCCACAGGATAATGCAAACTTGTACATGGTGATGACATTTATTCAAGGGGGAGAATTGTTCACTCACCTCAGGAGGGTTGGCAAGTTCGGGTAATCACTTATCCGTATCACTGGATTCCTCGCCACTCCCTCCAAGTTGAGCCGGCTAAGCTAACATCATCTTCATCTCGTGTTTTTCCCTCCTTTAATGGAGGGAGAGAGAGAAAATAAGAAGGGGGGAGGGGGGGGGGGGGGGGGGGAATTTGGGGTTGGATCTGTTGCAGGGGTAGGGAGAATTTGGGCTTGGATCTGTTGCAGGGATGAAAGGAATCCATGATGTGGTCCACCTCGTGACCAATCCCACTTTCGCTGGATTACATTAAACTTTTCACGTAGTTCAAAAAAGAAACGATAAGCATCCTAATTTTTGGATTATATTTCCCCTCTGTACGAGCCTGTGAAGATGCACTTTCCCAACTCAAAAGGGGAAAGTGCATCTTTCTGATGGACTCAGGATTCGTCTTCATTTGCGAAAAGAAGTTTGTCAGATTCCTTTCGACTCGTGGGAGTGGGAAGTTTTGTGGAATCCAGCCGTGCCCGTTGACCACGATGTTGCTCTGTGTGCTCATGGGGTTCCCCCGGGGGGTATTGTGTCTTGCAGGACAACTCCAATCTCTACATGATACTTGAGTTTGTGCCAGGCGGGGAAATGTTCTCGCATTTACGGAAAATCGGGAGGTTTAGGTAAGTCGAATCACGGTGTTGTGACTGTTCTTGCACGATAACCGGCGATGTTAGGTTAGTCGATTGCACGATGACCGGTGGTGGTGCACGACGACCGGTGGTGGTTAGGTTGGTTGCACGGTGACTGGTGGCGGTTGCCAGGTTGGTTGGTTGCACGGGTGGTGGTTCTTCATTTCTTATACAGAAGTCGTAGCCTCACTTATTTCATGCGTTGAATGTTCTGTAGCCAGAAGTGATTGTGTCGGCAGACCTTTTGTTTCTCTCCTTTGCGCAGGATGCAGTCTGCATGGCCTCTGCCCTTCTTGTAATGATCATCCTCTCATTTTCGCTCCCTCTCTCCGTGACTGATTCCGTTCACTCTCATCCCAACATGCGGTCGTTTGTTATATAACCCCGGTGATCGAATATCTTCCCCGATCTCGTTCCTCAGCCGCCTCTACCAAGAGTGACGCAACGAGCGCGGGGCCGACTCTAATCCGACTGTCGTATCCACTCCGGGGTGTCGCATTCGAAGTACCGTTGTGGAACCGATCGGAAAAGGGTTCTGGCCTTTGTTTCGCATTCGCAGTGGCAAGTTTATGTATATACAGGGTGGGTTGAGGAAGAACAAGTTCACCCTTTTCATTTGATTGCAACATCCGTACTAATTAAGACGCGCCCATGCAATTTGGAGGGTCATTAGTATTACTCTTCCTTGATCTAATTGACGTCAGTTCAAGGAAATACAGCAATTAGTTCTTGCACAATTTTTTTTAACACCGTAAGGTAGGAAAATCGCACTTGCGTGTATTGTCTCGTCAACATGCTGTGGTTCCTTAATTATCCCTTAATTTATTTTCAAAAATAGTTTTTTTTTTAAGGTTAGGTAGCAATATACATACATAGAATTAGAATTGAAATTACCAGTAATGATTGGAAGCGTTGTTCAGGTTCAAGTTTGTTCAAGTCCCTTCTACTACTTCGAAAGACCCTGTCAAAGTGGACTGCAAATTGCGACTTTCAATCACGCGCGGAAAAAAAAAATTGTTTTTTCTAGGAATGGAGTGCATTAGATCTGATAGGAGTGGAACTAATGATCCCCCAAATTGCATGAGCGTGTACTAATTAGTACGGATGTTGCAATCAAATGAAAAAGGGTGAGCTCCTTTTGGCCGCCCCGGTAGATGATGGCCCAAAAAAAAGTGGCTTGCGTAAATTTGACGTCAGCATTGTTGTTATTCAGTATTGCGTGACCGTGTCTATTACTTCAATATTTTATGCGAAATTTCGGGCATTGCCCGCGTTAATCAGGGCCCTTTCTCCGGAATAGACCCGGAGAAAGGCCTTGCAATTTCCACTTGCAATATATTTTAAGAATACTCGTCGTGCATAATGGAGAGGGAAACGGTCTATTTCGGTAAGATGTGATGGGTGTGCCTGCCTCTATTACGAGGCGATGAAGGTGGATTCATAGTTGATGGAGATGCATGCTTGGGTTCCCCGATTTCCTTTTTCATTGTGAAAGGTGTCCTCGAGGACTCTGCCTCCCGTCCTCGAGGGCTCTGCCTTCATCCGAGGCGACAATGGAAGACTGGAATCGTCTCTATTTATATTCTATTTTTCTCTCTCTCGGGCCGATTTTTTTCCTCTCCTGCTGTGAGTTGCGTGACTGTGAAGCCATAGAAGAAATATCGCGTTTCAGCCTCTTCTCCGCGTTTCCGTGATCTTTTCTAATGAGGTTTTTAGTGGGCTGTTCTCTCCGTGTCCAGAAGCGCTGAGAAGTTTTTCTCATCTGCCTGATAGAGGCTGGCTTATTTTCAGGCAGTTTTTTTTTTCTCACTTCATCGTTGAAGGGAGAGGGGGAAAAAAAAAGAATGAAGCCTCTTGAGCCAAGTTTTGGACCGTGATCCCAAATGGATGAAAGGAAACCTTTTTTTGGGATCCTCAATTCCACATCTCACGTTCCCTCTTTTTTTTTCGCCGGTCCTCGTTATCCTGGGCCTCGTGAATGTTCCACTTCTCTCCGGGGGATTTTCCCCCCTGATTCCTGATGGCATTTGAGAGGAGGGAAAGACTGAAAGGCTGAAAGGGAAGATTCAGTCTTTCCCATGTGGTGGAAGGGATATGCCTGTTGAGGGATTTTTTTTTTCACTTTCCCCCCTTTTTTTAAATCCGCTTTGAGCTTGTCCTTTCGACCTCTTCTTGATGAGCCCCTGTCACCTGCTGTTTCTCAGCCTGAGATGTCATTGCGAAGGCTGTGATGATGTTCTGTCTCCTCGTGGCACGTTTTTTTTTTCTGTCGTGGATTGTCGGTCGTTTCTAATCCCGATTGCTTCTCATCCCTCTGCATGTCTCGCTTTTAGGATTATTGTGCGAGGGTGGATCTGCCGAGAATCCCGAATCAAATCTCGGATTCGGGCGCTCAAAGTTTTCATTGTGTAAAAGAAAAAGACTGGGTTGTCGGGGTGACATGTTGGAACTTGGGTCGTTCACGAGGAATCCCTCGGGAGATCCATCCTCGGACAGAAATTTAAGGCCCTGATTTGAATTTTCAAATGATTTCTCTCTCTGAGGTCTGACTGGGGGGAAAAAAAGAACAGAAAAGTTAATAAATTTGGCGCAATATGGGGATTGGTGCAATATGGTCATGATGAACGACTTTCTTTTTTACAAGTCAGATTTGAGTTGTTCCCGTGGACCGTGTGTTACACCCTTTTCTTTTCAATCGGCAGCTGAAAAATATTCCGTCAGTATGAAAAATTTTTTTGTTCAGATGTAATTTCGCTATAAAAAATTACTGCTAATATGAAAAACAACCCTTCAAATTCGACTGTTTTACCCTTACTATCGCCGTTGTCCTCGCAAGAGAGGTAGCCAATTCGCGCCGGCTCAGCTTGTGTGGATTCATGAAATGAGATGATGCCGCAGGTGTGTATTTTTTTTTTTGACTCAGTGAGCCTCATTCGCGGTTCTATGCATCGCAAATCGTGCTTGCCTTCCAATACCTCCATTACCTGGATCTTATCTACCGGGACCTGAAACCTGAGAACCTTCTCATCGACGAAAAGGGCTATCTCAAGGTGGGTATATGTTCCTCTCTCTGCCCTTAATTTCTCATTAGGATGGAGTGACGGATTGTGTGGTTGCCTAGGTGACGGATTTTGGGTTTGCGAAGAGGGTGAAGGGGAGGACGTGGACCCTCTGCGGGACTCCCGAATACTTGGCTCCCGAAATCATCCTCAGCAAAGTGAGAGGAATTCATTTTTTTTTTTCCTTCTTGTGAAAGGGGAAGCTGATATGCTCGGATTGGAGCGTGTCATTGTTTGGAGACGTGATTCCCTGTCGCTTCAGCGACCTAATGGATTTCGGATGTGATCCGGGATTTTTTTTTCATGTTACATCGGTCGCCATTACGTTTTTTCTTAGCGGCATTTATTGCTTCAAACAGGTTGTTTGGGAGGTTGCAATATGTAAGCAGTATTAGGCCGGAGACAGAGGTCCCGCTGTTATGAGAATTTTGAGGCTGTTAAGGAACAGTGGCACGTTTCACATGCATCGTGCCAACAGCTTGGAAGATATACCATTTCGACAAAAAAAAAGCGAGCGCGCGAGGAGCAGCGGGTGGGACGGGAGTTGTCATGAATCGAAGATGGAGTCTTCGCAACTGTGGAGAATCGTAGTGGTGCCGGCTGAATTCCAAGCGCCGGGAGAGAAAATGAAGGACTGGGTCCACTCGAATTTGCGGGAACGCCCTTTTTTTTATCGATTGGAATGGTGATGTAGACGGGCTCGGGATGGGTTGGCTCGGTCGCCGTGCGATGTGAGACGTGTTGGACGGCGTGGGAAGTGCCACGAGGTTCCACCTTGGGGGGGGGGGGGGGGTAGGGATGAAGAGGGGAAAAATCGGGANTGGGAAGTGCCACGAGGTTCCACCTTGGGGGGGGGGGGGGGATAGGGATGAAGATGGGAAAAATCGGGAGACCTTCGCCATCTTCTCTTGCTTCTCGCTATCTCTCTTCGGCTTCCATTTCGCCGTCATTCTCTCCCCGCGTGCCTACTTCCTTTTTTTCTCATTTCCCCCCTTTCTGCTTTCCCTTCTTCTTCGCTGCTCTGATAGGGCTGGGAATACCCTCTTTCTCCCCAGCTGGATTCCCCCTTGAGCCCGGGAATCGGGGATCTTTAGAACTTCCATCGTAGGGGATTGACTCGTGACTCGTGAAGCCTTTTAGTGTTTTCGCGAGACGAAACCGTGAGATGCTTCGTGGATCCGGTCATCGGATCTCTTCCGTCTCTCATCGATCACAATCAAGGAGGCATTGATCGTAGGGTTTTCGTAGAGGGGAAGAAACGAACGAGAAGAAAGACGAGAGATAGAGGGGGGGGGGCAGGGAATTCATGCAGATGGAATCAAGATGGCAGCTAATGAGAGCATGTCTCACTTGATATATGCGTCTGTTATCTCTCCCCCTCTTCTGTCTTTGGGCAAGGAAGTAGAAGAGAAAGGACCGATTTGATGTTGAACTGCTTGTACGATGTCCCGACGGAGAGGGCGCCTGGAAAACGGAGTCGGGTCTCCGTTTGCGGTACAGTGTGGGTTGAAATCTGGGTCCAGGTACGTCAGTCAGCTGACGTGCGATATCATGCACGGGTGGAAAAGGTTGAGAGTTGAAAGACGAGTAGCTGAAATGGGGTTGCAATGGAGCGAAGGCGAGAGCAGGCATTCGGATGTGCTTGCCGTTCCCTGTCGGCGGTTTTCCGTCGCAGGGTCGCGGGAGTCGGGGTAGCCAGGCGGGCTCCTGCGTGGGACTCCTCGTCTTTCGGCACGCCACCTACGTTTCCTTCGCCTCTTGCGGTGTGGTTGGGACTCCTCGCACCGTGGGGTATTGGCAGGGATTCTCGATCTCTCGTGTTGCGAGATCTCGCAGGTCCCTGCGAAGGCACTGCTTCGTGTAAGGGTGGGAAGTGTGGCTTCTGATGTTGCGAGATTTTCTCTTGTTCTTTCTTCGAAACTGTTTAGATTTTCTTGAGAATTCGCGAGTGCTTTGAGAAAATTATCTATTTCTGTAAGATCGAACTGTAAGAAAATCATGGTTAATCTGCTTGCCTTCATGTTTTCTGTTCCAAGAAGTAATAATCTTTAGCTCCCTCGGCTCATCTTGAGGCTGCCATATTTTTTGCGGGGAGCTCTTGCAGTCGCTCGTAATCCGTATGATGTTTGATTGAGGCTGATCTGGCGGAAATGGAAAGTTTCTCTTCTGGAGGGTCTATATATCGTGTCTCTTGGGGTGGGTGGGGAGGAGGGGGGGAAAAGCGCGTGGGCGTGAGTTGATGATGGGATGAGGCGAGGGATTTGAGCATGGCTATTCTGTCTTCTCTTGGCATTAAACTTTGCAATCTCGGGGGTTGAGAAACATTGAGGGGAAAAGAAATAAGGATATATACTGGCCTTAATTGGGATTATTAATGGCCACGGAAGCTGCCATCTGTCTGCGGTCTTCAGTCCCATTTACTTTTCCCTCTGCCATGGTAAAGTGAACCACTTCTCCCGCCGTTTTGATAATGTATGGATGCATGGACACAGGCGTGGGAACGTTCTGGAAAGCGGGGGGCAAATGGCCCCGAACGCCCCACAGGGGGGCCCACAAATGCTCATTCCACAACTCGATCCGCTGGTCCGAGATATGGATCTGAGTGAGGAAAAGTGAGGGGGCATTTGCCACTCGGTGCCCCACCCGCTGCGCTACGCCCTTGCAGCGTTTCTCATAATGGGGCTAGCTTTTGAGGATCAGAAAGTGAGTCTTGCCCTTGAATGGGGGGAGAGAGGTCGACCTTGCCAGAACGAAGGCAGGGGAAGGGAAGCCCTGGCAGGATGCCAGGGTATGGAGAGGAGGACCCAGCGCTCTCGCTTCATCCATGAAAACTTGATAAGGGAATCGATGAATGGCATTTTTGCATCTACGCCCGCCCGTATCTCCTTCGACATGGATATTCATCAGTGAGAAAGGGGGGATGAAGGAGGGAAGCCGGAATTGATTGACGGCGGACGAGATTCGTGGATCGATCGGGAAAGGGGGAGAAGTTTCCTCGAAAAGTCATGTACAATAGAGGCCATCTCCATCAGACTCGGATGGGATGGATGCGATTGGTAACGCGGAACTGCGAATTGATGGGACCGACTCCATCTCATCGAAAAGAGAAAAAGAAATCTTCGAGATGTAAGCAGATGGAATGACAGGGAGGGACCCCCGAGTCGAGGGGCTGGGCACTTGTGGAAGGATTGAAGATGACAGAAGTCGATCGAGGGAAAACAAGGAGAGGGGGAATCCATGGGATTCTTTTTTTTTTTTACACTCATCGGTATCGACATGAGGGAAATGGGGAATTTTTTCCCCTCTCCGGTCCGAGTCTCAGTGGACAGGGAACAGGAAGCTGAAATAGTTATTTGTTTAGAATCCAATGTGGGGCTGTGATGGGTGGGTGAGGGAAAGAGAGTTAAAGGCTCCTCGTAATGGCATTCGTTCGTGGGTTTTTTGCCACTGTGATTTTCTGGGTGAAAGAATGCATTCGCCCGGGTATCTGCGAGGGTTCTATTCATGAACTCCGGAATATTCTGGATCCTGTTTCCCATTACGGGAGACATACGCCTCGGAGGGTATTCAGATATAGGCTTGGGTTGGAGATGATCCCGGGTCTCAAGGATGATGAAGAGACCTCTTTCAGAGGACTTTTCTCCAGGTCCTTTATCAGGCTGAACTTCGAAAAAGAGGAAGGTGGTAGTAATGGGGTGTGTCGGGTTTCAGGCTAGATTTCACCCCCATGAGTCATGAGATCATGGGAGTAGAGTGGGACAAGAGAGACGGGGAAGAAGAGAGGGATGTTTTCAGGCTCATGGCTCATGCCAACCATGTTAGCCTGCTTAAGCTCATCTCTCTACTGTCTAAATATAGATCCCTTGAAATAAGGAACATGGAGACTCAGTCTGGTCCACACAGAGAGAGAGAGAGACTTTCTACTGGTGGCTTTACCCGGTTTTGGCCCATCTGGTATCACTCATAAAATATGAATTTCCTTCCCTCCAGTCCTTTTAAATATTCATGGATATGCCATTATCAACACTGTAAGAGGTATTCTTGTGTGATCAATATTTCTTGACCCATGTGGAAGCTGAAGGGGAACTGTCGGCCTATTGTTCCCAGGCCAAGGTGTGCCCAAAGTGATGTCAGAAAGTCTAATGTTTTTCCAGTAATTGTCACGGTCATAGTGTATCAATTATAATCTGTGGAATTCAGACTTTTCAAAAGCTCTGTGACATGCTGGACTTTCTAGAATTTTGTATGGCATTTTCAAGCCCAGTATTTAAGGTACAAGTGTTATTAGTTCTGGTTTAGACAGCCTCCAAACCTTCCTGCTGGTACATTGTGATGAATCTCTCTTTACTCTGACATTGCTAATTTTGCCTGTATCCTTCAGTCCTGTTTCAAGTTCTACAGCCATTATCCCCCACCATGTCCTCAACTGTCCTTCAATCCCGACTTTGTTCCTCTCCTGCAATGAATTGTTGATGTGGTGCATATTTGACCAGTTGTTTCCAAGAAACCCTTCCTCATGTCACCATATGACCTTTTCCATCTGCCCTTTCCCCTCCCGAGCCCTTCCTGTGCATGCTCCAGAGTACTTTCCATGACCCAGAATCCATGTCTTGAACTCCAGGATTTGCGATGTATCTTGACAGGGCTACAACAAAGCTGTGGACTGGTGGGCGCTGGGTGTGCTCATCTATGAAATGGCTGCCGGCTACCCGCCTTTCTTTGCCGACCAACCCATCCAAATATATGAAAAGATAGTCTCAGGAAAGGTGAGACAATGTTCCTGCTATTTGTCTGATGTGTCTAACCTTTTTTTCCCCCTTTTTTTTCCCCCCATGCCCCTCTCCTCCTTCCCTTCCATCCTCCCTCCTACTCTCTGAAAGCCATATGGAAAGGCAGTGGACTGGTGGACAGTTGGCATTCTCATCTATGAGATGAATTTTGGTGCTACCCCCTTCTCTCACAAAGATCACATGACAATGTATTTTAAGATCATAGAAGGCAAGGTGAGATGACTTCCCTCTTCTTTTTTCCCCCCTCCTTTAACCCTTCTCCCATCCTTCACCAAATGCCTTTGCATACTACTCACCCTTGCCAGTTGCCAGGTTTGAATGATGTCCTCTTGGGCATATCAAGGAATGTGAAAATATAAGTAGTTCAGGAGTGTCTCATTACTGCAGGAGAAACATGAGCCTTGAGTCATTGTACTTTGAAAAACACTTGTAGGCCTTGAGCAACTCCATTCAATCTTGATTAATGCTAGCAGTCTTAATGTGCTTCAATAGATGCTCTTGGAACATTTGAAAGCTGGCTGATGAGAATAGCCTTTATTTGGGGAATATATACTTCTTTGCACCATCTCATTGGAAGAAGTGAATGTTACTTCTCAGGGTTCAACTCAAGAAATGTGACAGTCTTTTCATATTAGAGTTTGATTATTTGTAAAAGTTTCAAGCACAATTATTCTTAGAAAGTTGAATTGATTTGACTAATTCATTTTCATTGCCTCATTTCCCTCTAACTGATAAAGGAAATAGTAGTTTTAAAGGGGGCAAATAACAAATTTTCATCTGGTACCATTTCATCTGTTAGGTGGCAATGCACACATCACTGTCATACTTCATGGAATGATATGGATGAGAGCTCAATCTGTACCATCACATTGCCTGATCATGTCAATCTCTCCTCAGTATCAGGTTGTTTTATTTGGCATTGTAGGCTTTGACAATGAAAAAAGTTGTCACCCAGCTTAGGTAGGATCTGTGAGAAAGTCAATTGAGCCCATTTATATGTAATGAATCACAGTTTTTACTCAATTTAAACTATGATTGAATAATTGAACTATAGTCCTACTTTGAAAGCTTGCAATCATCATAACTTTAAGAAACTGATGCTATTCAAGCATTCAATTGGGTTATGTATTGTGCTTGATGCCTTGGGAAATATTCTTGCTTGTGACTACTGTGGGGATGAAGAATTCTCAAACATGGGTTTTCTGCTTTCTTCAGGTGAGATTCCCAGCACACTTCAGTGGAGAGTTGAAAGACCTTCTGAAGAACCTCCTCCAGGTCGACTTGACCAAGCGCTTTGGGAACCTCAAGAATGGAGTTGATGACATTCGCAACCACAAGTGGTTTGCCACCACTGATTGGATTGCTATCTATCAGCGAAAGGTATGGTAACCATCCTAGTGCTCAAGGTAGTGCTGCATTGTTTGAAAATTTGAAACCTACTGAGTGTTGTAAATAGTGATCTCTTGTTGCAACTGTTAAGGGTTTTTTTGTAACAAAAGCAAAAATTGATAGCAATGGTGCAAGAATTAACTCATCCTTTCTCAACACATCAGATGACTCTCTGATCCATATATGGTGCAGCTATTGTCAACAACAAAAGCTTAATACCAAGCTTATATATGGAATCCCAGAACATGGGAGAAATGGTTCCTAGAACATACCCCACCATGCTAACACCATTTTCGTTGATTGCACTCCCAGTCACATGATGTGACTTGGGTATGACCTAAGGTCTCCTTTTCCCATTTTGGGATGTCCTGTTGGGTTGGAGGGAGTGGGAGTCTTTCATCCCTGGAATGGATGTGAACAGGGGGGGGAGGGGGACAGGGCTATCCAATTGCATGAGAGGCCTGTGCAAACACAGGCATGGATCAAATGAGGAATGAGGGATCCACACCAAACCGGTCATATCCAGCTTGGTTCTGTTCTGTATGGACTCCCTTCTCCTTTGTACTCCATCTCTTTTGGCCTCTTGCCAACCATGTAGAAGTTTAACTCCTTCAACATCTGTTGGGATGTGTGCATCTCATATTACTAGACAACAGTGCCATAGGAGGAGTCATCATTACATATATCACAAGGAGATTTCTTCTGACTTTTTTGCCCTTTGTTTGCTGTTGCTGTGATAAATATATTTTTTTACTATTGCTGTATGTTGTAGCTGGTACATCTTTTAACATGAGAATTAATTTTGTAATATATTTTAAGACTCTTCTCTTAATATCCTGAGTGGGAGATTAGGGATGAAGAATAACTTATGTTCATCAGAGCAGCAGTGTAAGACTTCCTTGGGTTGGGTGGATATAGGACAAAGTGTTTTCTTGGTGCTGATTCAGGATGTCACAAGGACTTGCCTCTCATAACGATCTAGAGTTGAAAAGTGAGATTGGAAAAGGAAAGAAGGTGGCTCAGAGACATTAAAGATACTATTAATAGCCGTACAGCTTCCAAGGAACTCATTCACCTGGGAAGATTGAACTTCCAGCAAAAGAGGATATTTGTGGGAATGCCCTTCCAAAAGAGGTGATGAAAGGCATAGGTTTCCCAGAACTTGTATCATTACCTGCTTCCCACTCATACATGGTATTTTTCTGGACATCATCATCTATCACATGAAGGAAAAAATAAAATGGTGGAGTTTGTAGGATGTTGTTGGTGTTGTGTCTCCTGGAAGTACAGAATGGAATACAGGACATATGGGTGGATTCAGAATGCCTGACTTACTCTTGTGAATGGTGTATGGAATGCGCATGAAATTTTCTCTTATAGCTTACAATGATTATGTGTGCAATGCAAGACTCATGCCTGCATTTTGATTCATTGACTTGCATTCAGTTTCAAGTCTGTGCTGTTAATAGATACTCCTGTGGCCATTATTATAGAGAAGATGCTTCTCTTGGCCAATCTCTTGGCTCAATCATGATGTTCAAGTTACAGTTGGCAAGACCCTGAGCAACATTGTCCAATTGGGATGCCTCCAATCCTAGAATATTTGAAATGAGTGGCTTTCAGACTTGCTATGGTTACAGAATAACTCCCCTTGTGTTGTTAATGCATGCAGAATGAAGCAATTGCATGGAAATATTTTGTACTGAATGTAGGTAATGCAGTTCAATTCTAATTAAGTTATTGCTGTAAGTGACAGCCTCCATGGTTAATTATATTATCAGGTATTGCCCCTCGCTTTACTTTGTTATTCATGGAAATGCTTTCCAAACAAATGATAATGAAACCTGCATTGTTGCCCAAATGTGAATGCCAGACAGATATGGAAATGTAAATAGATACTTGATGGACTAATTTGATTGAAAAAAATATTGCTGTGGGACAGTGGTTCTCAACGTTTTTGATCTTATGGCCCCCCTGAACAACTGCAAAGGGATCCAAGGCCCACTACAGACTTGAAAGCTATATAATTTTTGTTTGTCTAACTGTTAATTGTTATTTTAAAACTTACTGATACATCTTATGGCCCACCAGTTGAAAACCACTGCTGCAAGAAACAAAATTGCAGTTAGATTCTAATCGTGGTTCATGGCACTTTGATCAAATGCATGAGTTGAATTGAATCACGATGCATAGGAAGTTCTGTTTAGGTCATGCTTGTGTGAAAAGTTTTATTTTGGTCCAAAAACAAGAGATGTTCTGCCTGGGATTCACAGTTTGCAAATTTGCATGTTGAAAAATTAGATATGAAATCGGACTGGCCCAAAGTTTCACAAGAACTGTGCTTCTATTCTGTGCTTGATTATGGCAATGTATCAGAGTGGCATATCAGAGAGCTTCTATTATATGTCTCCTTTGGGACATACTTGGAAGAGCTATTCACTATGACATCATCTACAAGTGCCTTTTCATTAATGGGGGTCTGGGAAATACATGATTGTTCCATTCAAATCTTGGAAATGATCATACAGGTGGAGGTTTTCTGAGTGGCATTAATGTTGTGACATAGTTGTAGATAACAAAGAAGGATGTCTTTTGTGTTCACTCCTGTTGTGGATATTGTTGCATGGTGAATGAAAATGCATGATGGTTCTGCATGGTTTTAAAAGCAGGCACAGGTGTTTCTGAAGCCTAGGATCAAGCATGATGGCGATGCAATGCACTTTGCCAATTACACCGAAGACGAGGGCTTGTTCAACATTGCAGCCGTTGAGCTCTTTGCTGACGAGTTCAAAGACTTCTAAGCTTGCTTTCCACTTCTCACACCCTTATTTTGCATGGTTTGTCCTGCCTTTTCCTCTTTTTATTTTCCACTGTCTGCATCATGCTCGTGTAGACCTAATCCCAAGTTATTTCTTCTTTTATTTTATTGAATCATTTTCATGTTTCATGCATTTCATTTTTCTTTTTATATGTTTTGTTCTTTCATCACTGGTTTGTACCTACCCTTACCAATAAGTATTGTGGAGTCCCACTCTTCTTTCATAAAACTCATTATTGGTTTTGGGAAATACCAAAAAGATGCACATTCAACATCTCAGTTTTATATCCATGTCAATAACATGAAAGTTCCTTTCAGCTTCATATTTCAAGTGGAGGGTAATTTTTTAAGCTGAAATTCAGTATCTTGCACTTGCTCTTGTAAAACCATGGGTGGCATGGTTGGTACCTCTGCCACTGACAGGAAGCCAACAGAGATTTATTGTGAAATGACATGGAAGTCTCTAAGAAATTTGAGCTACAGGAATGAGAGAAAATAAAATATTTTGCTAATTTTAGTCTAAAAAATGAGGATGTCTCTGAGAATTATTTTCTTGCTCAGATAAATTCATCATTAATTGCACTTGAAAATCTTTTTGAAAATGATTTTAATTGATCCCACTAGGTAGACCATTATGATCCAGTCAACTTAAATTCATTTTTCTCAGTTATGTAATGCACTCTGCAAGGCCATTATGCTAGGCTTTGTATGAGATGAGATTGAGGAATGTGAATCAAGTGGGATTACTTAGGGATGCCACACACAAGCTGATTTTGTACCAGAGATAGGGAAGCAGAAGTAGAGTTTCTGATCTGTACCCCATACATGCCTCAAAGAGGCTTATGCTGGAGCTTTCATTCCCAGTGAATCTGTGACCATCATCTATTGGAGACTCATTAGATGTCACTGCACATCATATGATTTTTATTTCTTCATGAAATCAGTTCATAAGGCTGCCATGTGGGGACTGGTTAAAATAGCATGTGTGCAATGGCCTCCAGACAGGTGTAGCTCCTGTTTTTTCAGTGCTGCCATATTTATGAAGTAGACTGAGTACAATTTTACCCCAACTTGAATGGTACCTTTGGAAGACTGCATGTTTAGTGAAAAAAAAGAGACAGACACTTCATGCTCATTTCATGATAGCAAGATGGTGGAATAGACAATGCCACGAAGTATGATATTCCAGGAAAGCCTGACAACTGCTGTTATTTAACACATTCACGCCCAGCGACTCCAGAACACTATGGGTTTAAAAACGTAATATTACGGTTCCCGGCGTCAATGGGTTAAGAAGAATTTGAATTTTGAATGTGGGTTCTCACTACTGTTGGAATTGATTTCAAATTCTTGTAGTACTCAAGATGCATAGATTATGAACCTTCCCATGGCAGCATGAATACATGTGAGGTATTCCTATAAATTCAATCATTTGAAAATCTGTATCATATTCGATATGCACCTCAGGAGTTCATCAAAAAGAAACTGCATAAAGTGGCTGAAGTTTAGCTAAAATATTATGGAAATCTTTTTTCCCTATCAGAATTGTCTGAACAGGCAGGAATCCTTTGAAGTCTCACTCAACTATGAAAGGAGAGTTCTGGTAGAGTAAGGAAGGTATCTCACATCATAGGTGTCATGATCAACTGATTGCTACTGGACAAGGAAGGGAGGGTGTGAGCTCCCCTTAATGATGGCAGCAGGAGAAAGTGAACAATGATTGATGTCCAACTTCGGTATTGTTTTCTTTGGCCCCCCTCCAGATCCAGGTCTTGGCATCATCACAGATACCAAGGTCATCCTCTCCCTGTGACCGTATGGCTTTTTCACTGCCAAAGAAAATTGTCCTTATCTAGATCCTCAAGAGTTGGAATAGCTCCTGTGTTTGGTTTTAGAATCTACATCTTGCCTTCACAACCCCATGATTCAGCCCTATATTTATAGAAAGGGGTAACACTGCAATGATATTCTGTTGCACAAAAGTTCCTAGTTCCTAGCCACTTTTCCCCATGCAAGTTTCTTTTTGGTCTTGGCAGAGCTCACATGTTATTTCATCATGGGTTTCATTATGCATCCTTGGAATTATGTTGAAAGAGTTAGATAGGTGGACAGCTGTGCCCACTTGAACATAGAAATTTTGCTTGCATTTATATACAGACACTAAAGAGTGAAATCCATTTAGATTTAAACATCCTTTGTATTTTCTTTTCTTCACATTCTGCTTCTGTGGAATGGTGAATCAAAAAAAGGAAAGATGAGAGAGAGAACTGCATTTCATTTCATTTACCCATCAGCTTACCAATTATCATTGTTGGAGCTACCAATAAAGTAACATTTAATGTGATCAAAATTTGCCAACAACACATACTAATAATTACCCACAGGTGCCAAATAAGTGCAGTCATGTTGCTCATATGTCATACCAATAGATAATTCTACCCAAGACTGTCAAAACGATGATTAGGTGAACTACATGTAATGTCAGGCCATCGATTCAGTGGCTAGGTAAGTGGATGGGTTAATATTGAGTTGATGCAGCACAAAAGGCTTTTTGTTTCCCTCTTGTCAGAGCAAAAGAGATAAGACAGGAAGTCTATTATTGAGGCTATGAATAATATTTCCTCTGAGTAGAAAGATTGTTTAAGTGATTTCCATGAGTAGGGAATCTCTCACTGAAGCTGATTGAATGGATTAATTTCTCACCCATTCAACAGTGGGACAAAAATGGGCCTGCATTTTGCCCTCTACATACATGCTGTCATCACCTGTAATGGGAAAGCTACTTTTCAAAAGGAAATGGTTACAAGTTACATTCCTGGAAAAGCTAATTATCAGTACTAGGAACTTTCTACAGATGGTGGCTTGTTATTTTACTTTCTTTTTAATTTTTGAAAAAAAAAGACATAAGTTTTGATGGTGAAACTTATAATGAGAAGATGTCATGATGGTGTGACAGGATTGAGAGAGCATGAACTTTATGTGAGAAGGGAGCAAAGCATAAGCCTGTCTGAAAAGGGGGGAAAGGCAAACTTCTCACTGGAATTAGCTCCATTAAAAAAAAAAGAACTTATATATCCATTAGAAACAACTTCCAGTAAACTCATGTTACATTCCATAACTGGTCTTCGGCCATTTGCATTAGTCTTTTTCTTTGCTTGCTGACCATGAAACCCATACTGTTGAAGAGGGGAGTAGAGAATCCAGCGTTTCTAATGGTATGTAAGTTATAAACCATTTTGCAATGTTTAAGAATTTGTGAAGTGAAGCTATGGCAAGGAATATTCCATTTTTCTGAAGTTTTTATTTGTTATTTCTCAAAGTAATTTTTGCCCTCAACTTGTATTTTCAGGGAGTCTCGTTTTCAAATTTATAATTTTCTTCCCGGCACCAGGGTTTGCTGGGATAGTTTCCTTGTAAACCGCCTGACTTTGTGTATGTGTGTGTGTGTCTTCTTTCTTTCCTTTGTCTTTCTATTTTTCCTTTAGGATTTAAAAAAATTGATGGAATTTTGAATTCGGTGTTTCAGGTCGAGGCTCCATTCGTCCCAAAAATTAATAAAGATAAGGGAGGAGACACGAGCAACTTCGACGAATACGAAGAGGAACCATTGCGCGTTTCCTCCACGGAGAAGTGTGCCAAGGAATTTGCAGAATTCTGATGGCCCTCACTCATTATCCTGGTGCAATTCTTGTTGTGCTGGCTGTTTGAGAAGGAAAACAGGCACCGGTCATTTTTGCAAAGTGGACGTGTTTTCTCCGTATGGGTGTGCTTGTGAGCCTCGGTCAGACTTCCTGTGACTTCAAACCGTGGATGCAACTGATCAAAGAAGCAAATTCAAATTTCATAGTTCCAAGACAAAACATGAAAAAAAAAACCTGTTAAGGTGCAGCGATTTCAGACTGTGATGTGGCGCGATTCTCTGTCCTGTCATGGGAGAAGGAGTGGCGGTAGGAAGAAGGAAGATGCGTCCTCTCTCGACGCACCGTGCTCACTTCACTTTTGGGGGGACGCTCGCTTGTGGGACGTTCGGAGAGAGGCGCACCGTGGCAGCACTGCCTCTGCCTCGTGGTGTGGGCATAAGCATATCCCTTCCCTCCTCCAGTCCTTCCTTCCTTCCTTCCTTCTTCCTCCCCCTCCCCCAAGAAAAACAAGTCTTATATCACGAAGAGATATTCCCGTTTTCTTTGGCATTCCGGACACCATCAGCTGTGGATGCATCTCGTGTTTGTATTTGCGTCATGATGGGCATAATCCTAGTCAGCTACCAAGTTAGACATCTTGTTTTTTTGTTTCTCTTCTTCTCTGCTCTCTCTCTCTCTCTCTTTCTCTCTTTCTCTCTCCCATTATCGTTTTTCTCACCCGATTTAAAATGATTTTTTTCTCAACGCCGAGTTCCCTTTGATTCCATGAAATTTGCAGTGCCCCAAATTCTCGAATCATGTCTCTGTTTGATCTTGTGACACACACATGTGATGCCGGCTGGTGGTGATGATCATGCCGATGATGATGATGATGATGATGTTGGTGATGTCGATATGCCGATGATGATGCTGACGATCACGTTGGTCACTTCATCGTCCCCTTTGAAAGTCCGAACAATCAAAGTTCTTTTCAAGTCCACAGATGACCTGGTTCTCGGTCTCTCGTCTTTCTCTCGTCGACTGTGTTTTTTTCCCCCCATCTCCTTCTGTCTTCTGACCCATCTCCCCTTTCGCCTCTCGATCGGTTGTGTACAGATTCTTGCAGAGTTTATATTTAAAACAAAATCCATCCAGAGAGACAGATATTTTAGGCAGGCTTTTCTTTTTCCATTTCTCCCATCTCTCCTGCCCCTTTATCGTTCGTGTCTGAATTTTTCCCATGGCCTCTGCACGCTTCTTTCTTTTATGCCAACACGGACAGACGGGTCGCAAGCCTTTCGCTCTCGGCACAGGATCTCGTATCTCAGAGACGCTGGCCACGAAAACGAGTCTTTCTCGTGCCAGGCAGCTAATAAACCTCTTCCTGACTCAGTCCTTGTTCTCTGTATAAAACCGAGCATAAGTTATCTTACGACATTGGATGCACGAAGGATCGAAAAGTGCCATAGTTGCGAGTTGCGATCGGCTTGCTTCCCGTTTCCCTCTCCCTTTCTGTCGGCATGGAAATATTTTTTTTTTCCTTCCCCCAATTCTCTTTCTCTCACTCGAGATGGCCTCTTGTATCTGCTCTGGACACACGAGACACGAGCTAATAAAATGTGATTTTCAGTCCATGCCCCCTGCGTATGAATGTCATTGCTTGGACATTAGGTTTTCTGAAAATTTTGAATGTGAATTTTTATCAATGTTCTGTTAGAATGAGAGGAGTTCTTTCCAGGGGTGATGAAATCCCTGTAGAAACCTAATGTACTAAGAGCCATTGGTTTATTTATCATGTGCTGTGCTTGAAGGTGATCGGCGTTACACTCGCATGGGTATGGAAGGTCTAAAACTGAAAAGAAAAGGCAGGCGCTGACTGTGGGTTGGAAAAATCGTTGATTGCAGGAGTCTTATCTTATTTCATGTTGAATTTTACCGTTTTATTAGTATTAATTGGAAATTAGATGCCGATAAAGCAAGCTGCTAAGGAAGTTAAAATGAAAATGAGCAAAAATTATTTGTGACTTGTAATTAGGGCCGGATTAAGAAGTTACGAGGCCCAGGGCAAGTGGATTCTTGGCCCCCTCTAAGACATTTTCCGTAGTGCAAATAGCCTTAGAGGAGCCACACAGTCGAGCGCTGGTGGTGACAATTTGATTTGTAACATATGCTACTCTACGCAAAAACTTGGTTTTTAATTTCCTTCTGGGGCACCTGGAAATGGGCCCGGGGCAACAGCGCCCTTTGCCCCCCCCCCCCCCGTAATCCGGCCTTGCTTGAAGTAATGATTTTAAAGCGTAAGCCTGGACTGGAACCCTACAGGCACACTCCCCACCCCTGATTGCTTACTTGACGTCACCAACATGTTCGGGTATCACTCAGAATGTCCAGGATTCTCTTATAGTACATCCACAAATTTTTTAGAGAGATGTCACTGTAATACGTATTACTTCCCATACTTGGGGTAACAATGGCCCTATGGTTGAGCCCACTTTACTCGACCTTCTTGCCTTCGACATCATGTCAACGTGTCGGAGTAGGGGAAAATCTTTGACCCTTCAAGAACAGCAGGCCATCCTGAATATGCAAAAAGAGGGGAGGAAAATTCACGACACGGCGCGGATTTTGATGGTCAGCCTGGCATCATTTCTAACGTTCGGAAGAGGAACAAGCGAAGGTGATGGAGAAGAGGATCCGCTTTTCGGCTATGGATTGTTTGGCTCCTTGCTTATTTTGAGAGAAAAATCCCTGATTCAACATATGTATGTATCGTGAAATTACATGACCTTTTCATGTCGAATTTCGACAGAACTCTGTTACGGTGTTCCAAGCAAATGATCTCTATGTAAAGGGGAAAGGCGAGGCGTACCAGTGAGTAATTAGTGGAGTGAAAGAATCACAGGCTCAAACACGGTGATGATATATATTTTTAATGATGGAATAAATAATCAAGAGTGTAACTCTGATGAAGATTTGCACCAGTTGTGCAATGAACGACGCCAGAACTTTCTCTCCCACTCCCAGGTGTTGGTATCAGTATCACCACAAAATGCGAATTAAAAGTCTTGCCGTGAAGCAAGGGCACGTTGGCCACTCTCTACAGCCAAATTGGTCCACAGATTCAGCGGGATTTGCAGATCCACGTCTACCCACCGCGTCAATAGCTCCCTCCATGAATTCAGTCAATTCATTCAATTGTTCGAATGCAACATAGCCTGAGGCGTGGAGAAGCAGGCATGACGATGGATGATTCCCGCTGAAATCCTTGGGATCGACAATGTTATGCTTCCTTGCAAGGGAGCCAATCTGATCGCGAAAATCGACAAAACATTTTGTTCAGGCCTCGGCAGAATTCAGAAGCCAGATGCTTTCGCATGGCCAGCAATTTTTAGCGTTCTTCCGAGCTGAGATATGATGACAGTAGGGAGAGAACACTGCGATCATCCTTGATGCGATTATTGCCTCATGTATGGGTAGTCTTGTATACTTCAGTGACATCTCTCTAAAAAAAAAAATCTTTTGGATGTACTATACCTAATTCATTCCGGCGAAAAGTCACTGCATCGCAGACTTTATTCATAACATACCTGCCGGATGGTGCTAGCTGACCCCCATAGGTTACTCCTACTGAGCAACCCTAAACGCAATTCTGTCGTCTGCTCGTATACTATCGTTGCACAGTCCCATGGCATCACACCACCCTGCATCCGCTCGGATTCCAACATGGAACCGCTTAGCAAGTTTGGACGTTGATGATGGCGAGGTCTTCATCTGAGGCTTGGTAACTTTTTTCATCCCGATACACGAACGTGCAGAATGGCTGCCACCAATGCCACCATCTTGGATCCAGAAAGGATGGAAATCGTTGAGACGTTCGCGCCATCTGTCCGGGCCGGAGGAAGCTTCAGTCACGACGACAGAGTAGAGGTGGCAGGTACGACTTTCATCGCAGCCCAAACCAGCGCAATTCCGCGTGGGTGTCAGACGATCCTTCCTCCCTCCGTGGCGTTTTCCTTTTCCCTAAATTTTCAAGAAAAATGAGGTACAATCCCGATAAACGTGACAAAATCATTTCAACATTTTTGCGACTCGGAGGAATGCAGCCGTCGGATTTACTTTTTTCATTTTTTTTGTCGTGAAATTCACTGACAGGAGTGGAAATGAATACTTCTCGTTGCCTCTTACTCGAGGTTCAATTTTCTGCCTGACATCGGTCGCTACTCGACACACTCGAACAGTAAAATCCAACTGTAGTCGCAACATTTTGCCATTTTTCCCAGGAATTATTTTTATCCCATTGGGGAGACCGGGGACCGGTTGTAACAGGCGTGATAGTTCCATGCCTTTCCGCTGTGCGGCTCTGTCCACTCGGACTCTGCCTGCTGTCCACTCGGACTCACGCCCGCCGTCTTCATACAACGCTGACCGTTGTTAGGAAAACATAAAGATCTTTTTTCGGGCCATGAAAGTTACATTTTTCATAATCAGAAAATTTCTAAAGAAAATTTCATGTGCAATTCGAGTATTTAATTGGAGTATTGTTGAAAATGGGTTTTAAGGCCTATTCATTCTTCTGGAGTCTCACCTCTTCCTGGAAGATCTGTGAGCAAACATTTTCTGCCCCGAGCAATCGGTGGGCAGGTCGTAGCACATCGGTCACACAAAGAGTGACACTCATTTTAAGCCGACACGATCGTGCTGGCGACGACGATGGAGTGTAATCTACTTTTAAATGCGAAATATAAAGTCGAATAAGATATTTGGAGGGTATTTAAGTCTAGAAAGAATGCGACCGAACCCCCGGGAAGAGTAACTTCAGGCCACATGAATCGATTATATCATGTTGCAGCTTAATAATCCCGTTTTGCATATTTCATTGCTGCAGGAATGCAATTTGTCCTTCTCGATCGATCAGAAAACATCCGTTCAGTTACAACACACACGAATCTACGGTTGTCGTTTTTCAACGTATACTTCCTTAAATTGTCATTTTCTTTCCCCATATATTTGAGTCATCTTGCACGATATAGCTGGGAATCGTTATTTTGGCAGGCCCCCTGCGGCAAATACCACCTCCGGGGATTTGCCTCTCGCTTCATTTTCGATCGTCGAAGTTACATTAGAAAAAAAAAAGTTGAAAATCGATACATTTTCATTAAGCAAGGAGAGCAGAGGAATTCGTGTAGGTTGTCAAAAGATTCAGCGTTCGAATTCTCGGACCTTTCGCCATCGATCACTCTTGAAATCGAATGACCTGCTGACCTCCCTCTCGATAGGGAGTATGGCATTCTCGTGACATGCTTCGTCTTAGATGACTTCGAAGCTCATCGACGAGGTCGTTGAGCTGTGTTGAGGTTAACCTTGGGAAATTTTTCTGAACCTGGCACGGATGCCATCGATGATTAGGGTTGCCTAATTCATAACTCGTACCGATAGTACATATTTCAGTCGTTCCGTAGATACTTGAAACCGGTCGGATGCTTATGATATGGACACTTTTGTGTCCATATCGTGTCAACTTGTTGAGAATTTTAAAATGAATCAAGCTTTTAATAGCGGCTAAAACGGCTCTTTCCCGTCGAGTCAAGTAGGCCACACTCTCTCATAGCATCGATCGGTGCCTTGGCTTAAGGTGGCACGGTGTATTTGCGGCATGGCCGCATGCACAAGTATACTTGGAATATTTTTTTGCAGATTTCCATACGTCCACATCTTATGGAATTCAAATGTGGCAACCCTATCAATATCTAATATATATAGACGATGGTGACTGACTGACCGACTGACGCTAATTCTAACCATGTTCTATAAGGGCTAGAAATCTGAAACTTGGTGCACATGTACCTTTTGGGATACAGAGTTGAGAAAAAATCCGACTTTGGAGGTGCATGCCCTGGGGGTAGAAATTTTGGGGGGAAACGTTTTTCATGAATATTTTTTTGTGACAAATGAGGATGGCATTCAGAGGGTCAACTGGATGTGCTGGGTTCCGTGGTGTAGTAGTAGTATATCTGACTGGCAGTCGGAAGGTCCAGGTTTGATTCCCGGTCATACCTTGGCTTTCTTTTGGTTTTTTTTTTTTGCCTTCTATGTCATGTTACTCAATCCCCCTCCATAACATCATTTTTGCTTGAGTAGAACGAAGAGACATGGAAAGCTGAAACTTGGCATGGACGTGCCTAATGAGACGATGTGTTGAGAAAAATGCAAAATTTTAGATTAATGCCCTGGGGGCATATTTTTGCGAGCCGACGTTTTCAACTTCTTTTTGGTCCTGGCGTATTAAGCGAAGTGGGAAGATGAAACTTGGTACGTAACTACCTATTGGGATGCTGCAGAAAACTTGAGACTTTAGAAGTAAATTCCCTGCGGGCACAAATTTCAAAGGGAGGTGTTTTCAACTGATTTTTTTTTGCATCTGGTAAACTGGTGAACGTGGAAAGCTGAAACTTTATATATGAATGTGACTACTGAGACAAGGAGTTAAATAAAAATGCTAAGTCTCGATACATCCTCTGGGGGAATTTTTGGAGGTGCGATGTTTTGAAAAAGAAATTGGCATGGCGAATTGGAAAGAAATGGAAAGGTGAAACTTCGCACACGTATAATTATTACTGAGCTGAGAGAGTATTCA